GGGAAAGAGAAAGAGCAATTACCTGTTGAGGTGAGGCTATCAACAGGTCCTGAACAAGGGGATGTCCCTCCATCCTCAACTGCTGCCAGCTGTGGGGTGTCACAGTTTGCAAGGGGAGCCCAGACTGTGTTTATTAGCTGCTGGAAGCAACCAGGATCCTTTGTCCAATGTCTGCTGCTAGGTCCTCTATGAGACCTTGCTTTGGACGGGGGTGTGCACAGCAGCCCACCTTCTCCCCCAGCAGCTCACCAGCTCTCATGAGAGAAGGGGTGGCAGAGAAGGTTGGCAGGTACTGGGGGAAATTGTCTTCAAGGCTGTGACAGAGACATTACTGATGGGGAGGAAGGATGTGCTGCTCTCTCGACCTCATTAAACTACAGCGCTCATGGCTTTCTCTGCCACATCCCTGGGGAGTGATAAACTTCTTGTTGAGGGATGGTCCTCCAAAACACTGGAGGTTCTCAAGGGCAGGCAGAGGGACCTCTTAAGGCAAGGTGAGGAGGAACAGCCTGAAACCAGCAGAGAAAATTCAGCTTTGCAGGAGGACTAGTGGTGTTAACACTTTCAGCATTTGGGGAAGAGCATCCCATCACAGGGCCCTGCTTCCCAAGAGAGACGGAGGCAACCGGAGATGGGATGAGAGCACACAGTGGGGAGCAGCCTACCTCTAACCTCATCAAGCCAGTCCTAGAGGTTAGAGGCAGGAGAGGCTTTTAAGCCCAAGCAAGTGCTCACGTTGCACTTGGCTTTCCCGGACATACGTGCATGCTGTGATCTTTGCAGGAGCACAGACACGTGTGCAGGAAGACTCTGCAAAATGCCGAGGGCTGGTGCATGAGGGTGGGCAAGATGTGATACCTTTCAGCTGATAAATTTTTGCCCTTGTAGGTTGGTAAATACCTTATCTGAACTGACACCGATGTCAGCTCCTCTCAGTACCTGGACACTTGTGTTGCTAAGAGCAGAGCTCAGCTCTAATTGCAGCACCTTGGCACAGTACCTTGCCATCAAATACACTCCATCGGCCAGTTGTGCCCCAGGGTTCCCTCAGAAAGGCTGTTTGAACCCAGACAGTCCCTCGTTCCCTTGCTTTGTTAGCCCTCATCCCCACGCATCCACTTTGGATGTCCCAGGACACACTCTTCTCTCCAAGCAGGGGTTTCAAAACAAACCTAGCAAACCTGACAGCCTCAGTGCAAACATCACTGCTCACCACCCCACCGCAGTCCCAGCAGCACTCCCCACCACACTGCTAACCGCTCCTCTGTCTGCTGCTGAAGCAGATGCTTTACCCATGTCCATTACTGAAAATGAGATGCAAACCGGGACGCAGTGGTGCAAGAGTTCAGGGAACACCCCCAGACTGGCAAACTCCTTTCCCCGAGGGCTGCAAGGGCAAAGCACATGTCCCACAGCACCGTGCACGCACCATGGTGGAGCAGCCCATAACGAAGTCGGTGCAGGGAAGCCCCGCACCAGCCTAGCACCCCTCTGCGTGCCGTGCCAGAGCAGTGAAGGAGGCAGCGAGTTGGCTAAGGGTGCCCTCACCGCAACAGTGAAGCCGGCAGCACCGGGAGGATGCCAAAGCCTCAAGACATCAACGCAAAATGGGAGATCTCTGCAGCCATGTCTGTGCAAACCCCTGACATGGAGTGCAGCTCTGCAGAGCCGCTGGTCTCCTGGAGGTCTGCTTACACGCAAGCCCAGGCCTTGAGGGTGTAACACGCTTGGTGATGGCCTTCCTCTGCTCACCCGTGGGCACCCAGGGGCAGAGAAGGACCCTGATGGGAAACCGCAGCCGGCTGTGCCCTCCGGAGAGGGACAATCCAGCCGATTTGCCATGAGCATGGACTTCTGGGGCGGGAGGCTGGGATCCTGGCTTGGTGTTGCACAGCGGAGTCCACAGCCAGAAAATAACGATGGGTTTTGCTACAAAGGCTTTCTGGGGGAATGCCAGGAGCTCCAGCTGCAGCACAGTGCTGCAGTCCACGGAAGGGAAACTGAGGCGCGGGGCAGGCATGCACGCTGACTTCTGCGGGGTAGGGCTGGAGAGGGAACAAGCAGATAGCGAGAGGCAAAAGCAGTGGTAGCAGGGAGCGAGGGAGCAGGGAGTGAGGAGGGGGAGAGGAAGAAGGAGAGGGAGAGGGAGAGAAGAGGGCTGGCAGGGAGGGAAGGCTGCGCCGGTCCCCGACGCGTGTTCCTCCTAATGGCTATTTCAGCCTTCAGCTGGCAGACGAAGGCCAGAGCCTGGTTAATGAGCCTCCCAGCTAAATTATTCAAGCAGACCCTCCGCAGCAAAACAAGAGCGGGTGATCACAAGGCCAGAGACAAGGGCCTGATCTCTCCTACATCTCCATCCTCCTCCTCCTCGCCGGCTCCTTAACCCC